GCTGGTAAGGGAAGACGACCTCCCAGACAGCTGGAGCGATAATGCCTCTAGCTAGGCTGATTCTATAATAACTTAGCTTATTTTTCGCACTTTATTTTCGGAACATTTTGTATTTGCCAGACTTGTGTATATAATTTGCTTTGTTCATCTATGGTTTTCATTTCGCGCTTTCAATGGTTCTATTGTGTCCTTCTGTTTTGGGTTCATGTTTTAGGCTTAGTTTGTGCCTGTTTTTTGTGGTTTGGAAACACTTTTAAACTTTGGCTTAGTTTAAAGTGATTTGCACCATTGTTCGAGTTCGACCTCAGCATAGGGTAGGATAATTCGCTCTGAGGTTCGAACTCGACTTCGGGTAAAATGGAGCGATTTATACCAAGGTTCAAACTCGACCTTAGCTTGAGATAGAATAATTCGCATCAAGGTTCGAATTCGACCTTGGATAGAATTTTGACCTTGAGGTTCGGATTCGACCTCAGCGTAAGATAATTTGCACCGAGGTTCGAACTCGACCTCGGCCTAAGGTAAGATAAATCGTACCAAGGTTTGAATTCGACCTTGGCTTAAGGTAAAATAAATCGTACCATGGTTCAAACTCGACCTTGGCTTAGAGTAGAATGAATCGTGCCAAGGTTTGAACTCGACCTCGGCTTAAGGTAAAATAAATCGTACCAAGGTTCGAACTCGACCTTGACTTAGAGTAGAATGAATCGTGCCAAGCTTCAAACTCGACCTCGGCTTAGCACAAAACATCTTATGGTAAAATGATGTAGAGTTAAGAAACTCTGAATAGAAAAAGAATGAGTCATTTTATTAATGTTGTGGGTGTGCCTCGTTAAAAACCCTCTCAGCCAAAACCCATTTTTCTGTTTTTTGGGACAAAAGACTGAGGGATCTTATTCTGCCTCTTAACCTCGCCTAGGGCGGCCCCCAACGCCCAATTCTCCTCCTCCAGAGGATGGACTCGGCCCTTCATCTTCTCTAGGTCCCCTACTGCTTGGACCACCTATGCTTCCAGTGGTCCACAATAGCCATCGCCCTCTATAGAAAGACCTCAACGGAGATAACAGGTATCACCCGATACAAAAGCATATAACAGACGCCAAACATGCGCTTCAAACAGTGCGAACAACCAAAATTAAACCCAAAACGAACAAAATGGAGCAACATGCATACATGTATACAAGAAAAGTTCACAAGATTCAATACATCAATTCACGTCAAAGAGAAAGGAAACCAAAATTACAAAGAAAACCTAAGCGGAGGCATTTTCACTGGAACTGTCGTTAACATCGTCCTCCGAAACAATCCTCCCGCGACGGACCACCTTCTCCACATGCATCGAGGAGAAGTCGAACCCGGGAGCAAGAAGTCGTGCCTGACGGGCAGCCTTCTGAAAGCCCCTCTTATGCTCTGCCACGACGGAGCGCTCCATCTCGACGAGCCGTCCTTCCACGG